AGATCCATAGCATCTTGTTGATCATCAGTTAATCAGAGGCTTTGAATCCTAATTCAGGAAGTAAACGTGATACGAAAGTATTGAAAAATACGACGAATGTGAATAATCAAAATGAATCAAATTTGAAAAATCAACGAAAAGACTGGTGGCACATAAGGCGAAAGCACGACTGTCCACCACAAAATATATCATCGCCTAAAAATTATCCGAATAATTTGCAAGGTTTTCAGTTTTCTGTTTCAAAAAACTTCATTAACACCATATCACTGGAACCACATTCTGTAAAGGATGTAAATAAAGCGAAAATCTGAGTTATACAATGAGAACAAACAGCATCGCTGTGAAAGCTTATTTGTGAAGAGAAAATAAGCGTCGATTCGGCACTTTCAATTGGAATCTGTCTTTTTTTTAACTCAGTCAAACGCCATCGAGTGAGAAATTCTGCAAAGTGATGAAAATTCATAAACAAAATTTTCGAAGCTGCACATTTTCAACAAATATTGAAAGATGATCTCTTAGCTCTTAACTAGCTTACAATTAGATCTACTTGATCACAGTTTGATTCTGAGCAGTTTGAAGATCTGGTGTCGGAATATTCACTGTTCCAGGTTTGCCAGAGCAACAGCAGTTTCCTGAGGAGAATTGGACTGACGATAGGATGAAACTCCTTCAAGTCAGCTGAAATTTTCTTCACAAAATCTTACCAGATACAGTTTACATTCACTTATTACATGAAATTACTAACAACCTTACAATTTCCTTAATGGGATTAAAAAGTGAATCGAAAATTTTCGATTTCACATAAAAATCAATCGTAATTTTTTGATTACTTACGAGGTTTGATCAACATCGTCAAAATTCATTCAGATATTCATCATAAGTTCTCGAATTTGATTGAAAATTTCACCAAAATTAAGAAATTGAAGTGTTCGACTCTGTTTCGTTTCAGTTCGAAATAGCCAGTCGTGAAGATACACTAGAAAATGTCGAATCATTACCAACCGAGAAATCTTCTGTTATTGATTTGCCAACAAAACCCGTTCTAACGGCGAACGTATGACGAAAAACGTTGCTCCGATTTGTGATCATCTCAAATTCTTTTGATTTGTATTCTTCAATTCCCATTCAGTTAATTAAGAATATGTGATTTTTAACATGAATTTGATTCATTTTTCAATTAAAAAGCACCGAATATTGTTATCAACAAATTACTCAATGTGGCAGTTTCAATTCACTAAAATACATCTCGACTGCTCGGAAACCCTACCATTTAATAAAGTCATCTCCTGCAGTATCCGGCAAGGCTGATTTCCGTTTTAAGCTGGTGAAGATCATTATGCTCTGCTTCAAAACACATTGCGATCCATTTGAATTTGTATTCCTTCGGATATTTCTCACAATCCTTATTGCGTTTCCGTTGAATATCTCATATCAAGTCAATTCCTATTGCATAATTTGATAACTATCAATTTTTCCTAAATCTCTCGTAACTTATATGCTTGCTATATGCTGACATTTTTGCTCACAATTGTGTGATATTTGAAAGCCAATGAATTGCGGATAAATTTTATGAACGTTGTCATGGATATATCGCATGCTGCCAGCTGGCTTCATCAAATGCACTTCAAAAGCCGGCGGCCTCGTGGCCCAATGGACAAGGCGTCGGACTTCGGATCCGAAGATTGCAGGTTCGAGTCCTGCCGGGGTCGGCATAAATTTTCGCATTTCTCTTGTCGTTTGAAGAAAATTTATAAAATTCTTAGGCAGTATAAAGTGGAGATTCATGTATATAGCAATAAGTTGAAAAGAATCATAAGCTTATTGCATAAGCCTTTTACATTTGTTTGTAGGCGATTCAGAGCAGAGATTTGCTTGCAAAAGCTTCGAAAATATCTGTATCACTCATAGATACCTATTGGTAAAGTCATGCGCATGCAATCATCTCAATACGACGAATCGATCAGTTTTGGTGTGACGAATCAAAACTCTCATTGTTGCTACCAAATTAAATGAAGAAACCAATTGAATTTATGCGCTTCAATTTGAAAACCTTTCCAGATGAAAAAAGTTTCAACGTTGAATGTAGTCGCACTTAGTCTGTCGTGAATTCGAGAAATGAGATATNGAACAATTAACGTCAGAAATGGCGATGACATATCATTTACCTAGTGTATGTATATTGCAGAGTTTGTTTCTACTCGTTGATATAACAGCTCGAAAATGTCGTTCAAAAGCACACTCACATCATGAAATAAAATTGACGCAAAATGAAACTCGTGTGAATGCATCCACACTTTTTTCTCATCATTTCAGCCTTTAAGGTCGTCATGCGCTTCGTTCGCAATTGATTTTGTACTAAATGAGAATTTTATTTCGAAAAGAGACCACTACAAAACAGTCACAAATGCACGAACATAAACTAGATGAGATCGTTACGAAGGGAATATTGAGACCAAAAGACGAACGAATAACCAATCAAATCGGTGTTATAGAATGAAATGGACACAAAAATGACGAGAATACGGATTAACAAACGAAACAGAAATATGGCAACATGCAAGCTGAATAGTCTTGATTAGATTCGGGAAATTAGATAAATTCTTAACGATTTCGACTAGAGTGCACTAGCAGAGCGGTATTCGGCATGAAAAAAAAGATAGCATTTAATTGCATGGGAGAATCTTTAACTATTTTCGAATCAGACACTCTCTAGCTATCAAGTTTGAGAATTTCACGTGGAATCTGAATCAGGAAATATTGTGACGAATTGCAGCACTGATCTGCTCTACGTTGAAACGCATCGCTTCAGAAGCCAACTGCAGTGATTCTCTCGAATTGATTAAATCAATTGTGTTCGTGTGGGCATTGTAGAGCACACTGAATGGACGTTTCATCGTAGCTGTGTAAATTCTGAAATTTTGTTTTTGAAACCACCTTTACAAAATAAAACGATGATAACAGAATACTACTTTTTCGAGGAATTATTCGAAATATCAGTGTTTAACACAATGAAGATGAGTGTAATTGTGCAGGCATAATAACTTCCTCGTCCATGAAGATGAGATGCTGAGATCAGTCGAAATGAAAGATTTCCTCAATTTGGTATAAATTTATAACTTCGTCAGGGAATCACTATCTTTAGAGGAATGTCGATCGGATTTGAACTGCGGTAGAGCATTTCACCAGTTAACGGTGAACATCGTAAACAACAGTCTAAAAGCGATGAGCAATATACCTCAACTTGATGAGCGCTTCTTCGAGATTACGAGTGAAGTAATAACACTCTTGGAAGGTTGTTACCGACGGTACTGTTTTGACCACAAAATCTGGCTCGAAACGGTGGACTTTCGACTTGTCGCTAACCGCAAACTGAATTTCGGATTTGGAATAAAGATATTACGGATTCTTTTGTTTACTGTTCGAAATCTCAGATGATACAGGTTTCAGCAACAAATAAAAGCATTAGTATGCCAGATTTTTCCAATTACTTCAACTGAGCAAGCTTCACTGGAATTTCTTGAAAACTCCCGAAATATTAGTGGTTTTTCAATCGTTATTGAGAATCGTCAATATATTTCCAAAAATAGATCAAGGGACCCAATGAATTTGAAGAGATGCTTCGAAAAATCTGAGTTTTACGAGATATTTAATGATTTTCGTCGAAGTTTTATAGTCATCAAAGCTCCTAATGCTTGTTGACTTCTTCAACGGGACGGAATAAAAGAATCTCGACGATTTGAATGTTTATCTGTTTTTCGCTTTGCTGATGGTGTACTGATCGTGAGTATTTCCAAGGGAACAATTTAAGCATCTTACCTCAAGTTCATCAACGCAAGACAAAAGTCCTGCCCCGTAAACCTTTAGATTTTTCTTTGTCGGTTCGAATTCTGCGTCTTCCAGCGAGAGACCGAATTCGATGGTGAAAAAGTACAACTGAAAACTTCTTTCGTTTCAAATGGACGGACGAAATTTTGAATTGTTTGTTCTCAACTAAAAATGCATTATTTCCAGTACAGCTGTCCAATGTCAAGAAGAAATAAGCGGAAATAAAACAGGAATACGGTGTTATGTTACGATGAACATCACAAACTCTAACATATAACCGGAGAGAATTTGAACTTGCATTTCAAATCTCCATCAAATTATTCACCAGGAACTAAGAAAAATCAAAGTAATCTGCGTGTTCACTTCATGATCGTACGGTACAGTTGGTTAGAATGAGTTCACTTACACGAGCAATTTCCCTGCATTCCTCTTCAGATGCACCTAACGACGCCAGACCGATCTCCTCGGAGAACTGCGCAAAACGTGGGTCAGCAAACATTGCCATATGCCCAAGGAATTCATGAACCATATCGCTGAAAACGCATAATTTCTGCAATGAGCCAAAATCCAAATTAATTTGAAATTCAATATGCTTGGAGATCTTAAACTAGTCCCTCACGATTTCCATCACGTCCAAATGAAAATTTGTGGAAACGAACTAATTAATTCAATTCGAACAAAATTTTCGAATCTGAAGGCACTTTTCGGAAAAAATTTTCGGAATTTCTCGTCGCCAAGTTCTGAAGGCGCTCTCACCTACCATTGCATTGTTCATGATCAATTCATATCGTTTGATCGCGATGAATGATCATAAATTGTTTGCTTATGATCATAAATAACATCACTAACGGTTCGGGTGTGTAGAACGGGAATTTGTGGTGTCTCACATACTGCGTACAATTGAACACGCGGAACGCCAATCCGGCCAGAAAATCTCTCGGCGCTTGATAGCCTCCAACAGGACGCAGTGTGAATCCAGATCTTGCTAAAATCCATCTGATAAAAATTGCGTCAATGATGAGCATTCTAGTTTCAATTAGTATTCAGCAATGATATTGGTACACCACTCGGTTCCAAGCAAGACTTTCCTCCGCGAACGGAAAACTTCCCTTTGTGTTCGCGGCGAATAGTTTTGCTCGAAACCGATTGGTGTACCAATATCATTGATGTTGTGAGCCTAAGCCAGGCTATGATTTGGCTTGTATCTATTATCTAATTATCATAAATAACATCACTAACGGTCAGGTGTGAAACTTGATCAGTTAGAGTAATAGGAATTTGAGGTGTGAAGCTCGATCAGAACTTGAGGTGTGAAGTTCAGGTGTGAAGCTTGATCAGTTGAAGTTATTGGAACAATTACTTCAACTGATCAAGCTTCACCGGATCAAGCTTTACAATATTAGGCGGTAGCAGTCTATAATCAGTGGCTCTAATCGCCCTCACAATTCTCACAAAACCGTTCCAACTCAATCAGCTAATGAATATTTGCTATTATAGGACAATTCTGTGCATGTTTGATATACTCGCATGATCGGCCGAACTGAATGATTGCATTTTTCAAATTCTCAATTCAGAATTCAACAAACTCTCTAAACGAATTCTCAAAACTGACTGAAAGTGAACCAGAATACTGATTATAACTAGCAAAAAACATGAAACTGAACGTTATAACAAGCATAAACCTTTCAGAAAGCGTGATACATCGTCAAGTTGCGGTATATTGTCCTCAGAATATCCGCAATATTTCTCGAGTAGCTCGAAATTTTGCAGGAACTCTTTGCAAGCGTACTTTTTGTGCAGTATTTTCAATCGTTGATAGATCGCCTTCCTGCGGAGAAATTGCATTTGAAAACGTTGCGCTCTTCGTCTTCATTTAAGAACTATTTCAACCTCAGATGAGTTTAAATTCTGTACAATTTGGAGGAATTGATTCAAAATACTGTCTTACCAAGTCTTCTTTTCAGTTTCATTGTATTCGATGCGTGGAAGTGGTTGTCCACTGAAAATTGCAAATGTTTACATTGGATAAAATTTTACAGGAATGAAATTCTCTTGATACATTGTCACCGTCAGTTTTGTCCAGGAAACCATGGAAACCCTGTGTTTGGAATTGACAAAAAGGTTGACTATAAGTTATTCAGATGGAATGATGAATTCACATACTGCCGATTGAAGCAATCAAATTTTCGTGGTTTTGTGCCGAAATTTCTCACATTGTTTCCAAAGAAAACTAACTATTTGTAATCACGAGCGATCTCGAAAAATTCCATTCTTCTTTTGCGATATTCCTCATCGGTGAAACTCTAAAAGTACTCATTGTGCTCAAATTCATCTGAATGCGTAAGTGATGGGTGGTTATGGCAAACATTATGAAGTTGATAGAATTCCCTGGGAAACATCTCATAGAATTCCCAGGGAGACGGGTTAGAAATTACAAAACTAATCAATTGAGAGCTTGATGATACCAGAAAAGTCGGACAAATTGTGGGTGAGGTGCAGCAGAAATTTAGAGGTGTAGCAGATATTTAGGTGCAGCAGACACTTACAGTAACATTTGATGAGAGCAAAATGTGGAGCATAAGAGTAACTCAAAAGTGTACGTTTACAAACACGAAAAATGCATATTTGAACACGCGACTCTCAGCTTCCGGTTAACAAACGCGCTGATAAATCATATTTCTTAAGCAAGGCCAAGTTTTTAGGTCGTACCGGATGATCTGCGTGCAAACCGTCCGGACCCGGACCGAACATGATAACATTTTGACTGCAATAGTCCAAATCACTGATGTGTTTTGGGAACCATTTTCCAGTCGCCATGTCTGCAAGAACTCGAACATATGGAAGTATTGTACACCACTGATCAAATACTGCAAGTTGCACTTCAGTATAATTATGTAAGAAAAACGAGAGCTTGTAGTGACCAGTGAGATATTCTCAAATATGCGGTTTGCATCTGCGAATTCATAATTTGGTATACCCTCAGGTGACGGTTGTTGAATTGTTGCTCGTCCATTGTACGAATATCGCCGACCAGTTGAGGCGATGGGAGCGAGTGTATTCGATTGATGACTGAAGTCAAATCGAGATCATTCTCAAGGTTGGCTGGTATTGTAAAATAAGCATTTCATATGGGAACAGCCCGGCATTATTCACAGTTCTATATTCATACATTCCGATGAAAATCGATGGAATTCTCATTATATTGACCACTCATTGAGGCTTCTTTCGGCTAAGTGACTTTTCGTGATTATAATCAAAGCAAAATTATCGTCACTATCATGTTTATCCATCCTTTCTTGGAGGTATCCTACACTAATGCTGATCAAGTTTCAATCTCTTGTTGACGAAAATTTTTGCAGTCTCTCTGAAATCTGCATCCTTGAGGATGGGATATATCGGAAGATCCACCTGTTTCGAGATGGACTCAAAGTGATCTTCGCGGTCTTGCATGTTTCTTGCGTTGAGCATTTCATCGCATTATCTGAAGAACACAAACACGCTCACCGAATTTGCATTCGGTCCTAGTGAGGGACATTTCACCGGCAACATTTATACGGAATGCCGCATCATTTTCATTTTTATGCAAGAACACTGAACATTGAAGATCAAATGAGGTTCACATCCCCATAACTATGATTTGAACGGTAAACCTATTTAACATGAATATTTTTGGGGAATTTTTGGCCGACGAATCTTATAAAGCAAAGCAACAAGTGACATTCTTGAGAAGAACTTAATCGAATGGACACGCAATGATAAACAAACCTTGTTTAACAACAGTAACGGTTGTTTCAATGTTAGCAGATGCAAGTCGCATTCTCAATAAATCTTGATTTTGCAGTCTCTCTTGATGAACCACTGTAAAACTGTAAAAACTATCAGCACTGGTATACTGTAACTGCACTGTTATTCACTAGATACGGTACGGAACTATTAACTCGTTGCTACTAAAAAATTACGGTAACTATCAATCATACGGCAACTGTAGATGATGCATCAATTATACACATAACGACAGTATTCGTTCGAGGATATAGTTTCAGCTGTATTAAGTGAAAATTCATAGAAAACTCAAATATTGTAATGATCTACGATGGATCATTATTTCCCGTGCAAATTCTCAAATTTTTTTTTTGAAATCTGTAAAATAGGTGTAAGGGAATCGTTTGTCGAGCACATTATATCAGTTAGGAATCCTCTCTCAACCACTGCTCCTAGCAGTTGCCAATTAGTCATAACTCTCGCGCGGATCATAACTTGATATCACAATCAACATTCGCGATACTCCAATAGCATTCGAAACCGAAGCATGAAACGACCGTCGTATTCGTTCAAAATATCAAATAAGAAGCAATAACTGGGCTGACAGAAGAATAAAGCTTCCATTAAGGATACGGTTACCTAGAGCCGTATTTAAGGCCGAGAACAATAGTTGAGTGTGTAGGTGTGTGTATTTTGTGTGCATATCATCCACCACTATCCAGGGAGTTTCTCATGGAAACTTGATATTTTTTGATTAATATTAGCTTTTTCGCACCTTTATGTGTTCATTCACAAAAGACACTCGAAATGTATTAATTATTAACAGCTGATCGAATTAGGTATTTCAGTTAATTGTGAATAAATATTTACCTGCGATATTCTGTTATCACCTCAAATGACGAATCATACTCAACTATGCTGAATTTCGCAACAAACGATGTGTACATTCTTATCGAATTTCATAGCTCAAATGAGCAGAGAACTGCCTCTGTAGAGAATTCACCTGATTAATTATTCGGTTCTCTTGCACTCTACGTTTACATTTTCTTCACTCGGATCGTCGCTATTCAGTAGATTTGTGAATAACCAAAACTCTGTACCCTCTATTCTATAGCGATGAATTTCTCGCGGAAATCGAATTAATCCATTCTGAGTCGATACAAAATGAACAATGAGAAATCTGACCGATGTGAGAAAATTCTACAGTAAGAAATGAGGATAAACTAGGACATTGTGAACTAAACAAAAGTTTCAGGAAGCAGCACTGAAAGTACTG